TTTCTGCCGACCCTATTATTTTTTCAACGCGATTGACCGTGCGGCCCTATTTTCTCCGGATGGTTGCGGACTGCTGCCAAAATGGCGTCTGTTGTCACACCAATTACAGTCGAACCTCTATTAAGCGGCCACCCCCGGGGATCGGCTTTGTGGCCGCTTAATAGAGGTGGCCGCTAAATAGAGGTACGCAAATAATAGACCCTGGGCGTAGTCAAATGACTCAAATGTCTACTTTTAATTATAAATCACAGAATACAGTAGTGATTTTATCTTTAATTCTCAGTTTCTACTAATTCTCAGGTTCTACTATAACATTTTTTCACAGGCATTCATTGTGCCAACAACACGAGGCCATCATACTATCATATTTCACACTAAAACATTTGAACAAACATTTAGGGACTATTGTGGCATAAATTTATTACTAGGACACCAATATGGTTCTCATTACTTATATCTAAACCTAAAAATCCTGCAGGCTGGCTGCTTAATAGAGGTAAAAATTGACATAAAACATCATTTGGGACGGCTCTTTGGGTGGCCGCGGCCGCTTAATAGATGTTGCCGTTTAATAGAGGGATAGTTTATAGTATTTGTATTACAAAAATTTCGGGACTTCGATATGTGGCCGTTTAATAGAGGGTGGCCGCTTAATGGAGGGCCGCTTAATAGAGGTTCGACTGTATTGAAAAACCCATGAAAAAAAATATTAAAAAAAAATTATTTCCGACCTACCGACCCTAATTTTTTCGCGATATGAATAATATATAGATACCGGAACCACAGGAATTTTTTTTACGCCTAATGTCATCCACTGAAGCGGGATATTGGGTGGGATAAAAACAGTCATATGAATACAGAAATAATCCCTGCCACTCAGGTGAGCAGCAAACAGGGCTCATATGGAGATACTGATCACTCACAGGCAGGGGTGGGACAGCATCAAGCGACAAGGAGAGCATCAAGCGACAAATTATCGTCGGATTTGATATGCTGTCCCACCCCGGGTAAGGCGGTATTGTCAGCATGTATTGATTACGTCACGTCCACGATCGTGCCCGAGCAACTTTAAGTATTTTGAAAATATCCGAAATTGAGGAGATTTTGGCTCCGTTCGTCGCTAAATTTGCCCAAGCTATGATCAAATCATATTATTTAGAAAGAGAAATCTTTGTGAAAAGATGTGATCGAATTTGTTTTTCCGTATGACAAGTTTGAGCGGAGATATCTGACTTTGAAGGCGATGCGGTCGGGCCGCCAATGATTAGCCTTTGACTGTTATATTATATATAGATGAGCACACGCAATGTAGACCACAGAAAATGTTACATCAACCCGCGCTCTAAAGGAGCTCATGGAGTAATTAAAAGAATGCAAAGGTATTATACTATCATGTCAACTATATTTTATTGTTAAAATGTATTTATTTAAGAATGTTTTTAGAATAGTTTTGGTTGAATATATAAAACTCATAATATTTGTTTATAAAAACCGTTAAAAACCCGCAACACCTGATCATTCATTCTGAGATTGGGCCGCCTGTGCTTATACAAGCAAAAATAAATTCAAATTACACTTATTCATTATGATAATGACACTCAGTATTCATAATCTAGAATATTTATTAATATTAGCGTGCAAATTGTAGCAAGTATCCAATAGACCTTTCCCCTTTTGAGTGAAATTTTGATCTAGACAAGTCTGGACAAAAATTTTATCACAGCTTTAAGAGCATCACAAAATTAGTAATATTCCGAAGTTTCGTTGCGAAATGTTGTAAAATGGGGGATAATATAGCCTTGCAAAGTTTGCCATTTTTCAGTCATTTTGCATTACAAACGGAAATTGATAATCAGATGATCAAACTGATTATCAATTTCCCATTTGTAATACAAAATGACTGAAAACGGCAAACTTCGCAAGGCTATATTATCCGCATTTTACAACATTTCGCAACGAAACTTCGGAATATTACTAATTTTGTGATGCTCTTTCAAGCTGTGATGAATTTTTTGTCCAGGCATATCTAGATCAAAATTTCACTCATAAGGGGAAATGTCTATTTAATTTCAGGAAGGGAACAAGTTACAAGTGTGATTTTGAGATTTCCTAGTTCTGTTAAGATTCTAAATTAAACATTTCCAGTATTATCCTTTGCAAAATCCTGTCAAAACCACTGCAGTTAAATAAAGAGTTATCATTCACAATCGGCTAACCCTTTTGTCCGAACTTATTATGTACTTTTATGGTTATGAGAAATGCCCTCTTCAGGAAATGATGATTCCATTGTAACCCCACCAGAAAATTATTTTTTAATATCATAGCGGACAGCGCGAAACGAATTAGACAGTAAGACACTTTACATAGTATATTGTAAACTGCTGCGAGAATTTGTAGACTTTCAGAATAAGGTTTTGAATGTCACAGTCAATGTCACAGTTTACATGTTCCCGTGATGAAAAAACAGCAATCCGATATGGCAGACTGTCAGTCAGGAAAAGTTCCGACATTCTTTAAACAGTTCAAATTTCAACAAGAAAGGGTTGGGTTTTAGTATATTAACTATGGTTTTAGTAGGTCTTAAAAAAAAATAAGATCTTTTGACGCGGCTCTTGATTTAGTAAAATTGTGTCTTCGATGGAGGTTCACACTATCACACTATCATTTTAATCAAAGCATACCTCGACAAATCTCAATAAAAATCGTCTTCCGTCCGACATTACGCGCCCTTGATGCTTCAAAGTACTATGCACACACCGTTAGGTACCACACATTGACAAAAGATTCTCACTCTGGACTATGTCTTTTGAAAGGATTTTTAAAATGTGTGTTTTGTGATTTATTCCTTTTGCTTGATATTGATGTACTATAACCTTTAATGTGTTTTTTTTTATGGATAATTGAGGTATACGACCCCCGTTACGTCTGCCCTGTGTATTCAATTTATGAATTACTGAAAAATGTCGCGGATAAATAAGACCGGAGACTCGTTGTAACAACAGTAACCCACCGTTTGAAGTCACCCGTGCTTCGTATATTATATCTATATATATATATATATATATATATATATATATATATATATATATATATATATATATATATATATATATATATAATATAATAGAACCACCAACGCAAATATATGAAACTGTATAAAATGCGCGCACAGTTTATAAATTTCTAAAGTGAAAATGGAATGATTCAGAAAAATAAACGTCCAACAAAGGGTCTTTGCTAGAAGCCGAGCTAGAAGCGATGGGGGTCACCATCCTATATTCGAGCAAGAATCTACCATAAACTCTACAGGACTTGGATAAGTTGGATCAATCATAGTTGACGCAAATAAAAATAGGTTGCGGTGTCAAGAATATACAACAACCCACAACCTGACATATACAATCAGAACTTCAAGAGTGCCTTTAATTTAATAATATGTTAATATAAAAATTCTTCTTGTCCTTGGATATTTCAGTGAATTAAAGTTGCCTTGGAATGACCAAACGGGATTTACTAAAGAACGTAACAACTGAGAACAGCGCTTATTTATCGAACGATAGTATATTTCATAAGATCCTTTTATAACACTATAGCAATGTGCGCACCATCCAGAATATATCATATATATACAGTAAATCCGCAAATTTACAATGTTTGCCGAGACTAAATAGATATGTATATATTGCGCGCAAAGCATTGCGCTTATATGAATAAGCGAAAACGAGAGCTTCAATAGAAGAAATAAATCGCTTACCTGACCCAAATCTATCGTAATGTTTATTTCGTTGTATTGTAATCCTCTTGACAGCGGTGGACTCTGCCACCATCTTTCTGTGCCATCAATAGCGTATTTAATTTGATGGTCTTTTGACGTTACCTTGGGATTACATTCACCACATTCTAAGCCATCTATGCCGAATTTCCCAGGAACAGTTGCTAGTTTACAGAACAGCTCTTGGTTTTGGCCTGCCGGTAGATCATATCCACAGGTTGCACTCGCAGTAATTTTCTTGGCTTGTGCAATGTTAAACGTGTCTTGCGATAACTGTGATTCACTCGCGCGAAAGTTCACCGCCAGCGCGCAAAATAGAAGCGCGAATGTTATGTGTGTATAATGCATATTAGGCAAAAGCATGAACTTTATAGAGGCAAAGCTCGCACACTGCCTTCTCCTTTCAAACGATAATAAATTTGACAGGCTGGATTAAATTTCGTTTCTTGTCACATCAAACTAGGCAGGGCCAATTCCGCTATGCATGACGTCCACAATGTTGATTGGACCTTTGACACTTTAAAGAAGATATCATATTGCGTATTTGGCAACCGGGAATGAGCATCGGATAACCACGGATATCAAGCAAGAATACTATACCATGAGTGCAACATCACTTGGAGCCCAAGGCTAATATACAAATATACAATGCTATTGTGCTGTCACATTTTGATTATTGCAGTCTTGTTTGGGATAATTGTTTTGATTATCTGTTAGACAAACTGCAAAAATTACAAAATAGGGCTTCGAGAGTGATTAATACGGGCAGAACATATGAAACCAGATCTAAAGTCAAAGATGTTTTAAAAGAGCTGAATTGGCAGCCCTTAAAAATGTATTTTTATGCACAAAATAAAAAATAACAATCAGTGTATCAATTGCGTAGTAACAATATAATTACTTTTCCCTTGGAATGCCAATATTAGTAACAAATTTTATGAAAAAGAGTATTAGTTACTCGGCTGCGTCATTATGGAACAGCTTACCAAGTTTAACTAAGGAACAAAACAGGCAGCCTTAGTAAATTTAAATCTATTCTTGACCGCCGCTGATGTATTCTTGTAGTTAGTAATTAGAAATCTATATAATTAGTAATATAGGTAGTGTAATAGTTGAAAATTAATTTATATTTGTATTGTTAATTTAAGTAGTTTGCAAACGGCTCCTAGAAAAGCAGGTGCCTATGTGCCCTGAAGGACTACTGCATGTTTTTAACAAATATTTTTAATGATGCCTGTGATGTTACTCTGAGTGCGTTCTGAGAGTACTCTGAGTGCATTACACCAACACAAAAAAAAATTAAATAATAATAATAATAACGGATGAGGAAGTGCGGAAACGCGCAATTTTCGAATGCGGAAGAAATATAACGCGGAATATAAAAAACGAGTGGAACAAATAACGCGATAAACGGAATAATGCGCGTAAACGGGTAAAACGCGGAAAAGGGGATGAGCTAGAAATGCGAATGGATCAATGCTTTTCAGATTGTGGTTTTAGATTCGTTTAAATCAGTTTAAAAATTGGAAATGGGTGGGAAATTGTCAGCCGAGGCCCGAGAGTGTTGCGTATCCTAGCTGCGCGCAAAAGGCCTTGCTCACAGGTGTAAACCAATGTGAAACAATTATAAATAGCCTACATAGGTATTATATCACTCAACCAAAATCATAAATCTAAAGCGAAACTTTTGCGAGTTACACGGGGGAGTTTACAACTTGAATTACATTTTACTCCGTGATTTTCATCGGTAACCTATCTTTAAATTTTGACCACAAACTTTACTTTCAGTAAATTGATTTTATAGTATTTCAAGTTTTAAAAAATCTTTACAGTGGAAATCTTGCAAAATATTTTCGCTTTTAAAAAAATAGCACTGTCGGAAGAATTTTTGATATATGAAATAAAACAGATAGGTCCGTCACCGACTTCACTTTTCAGGTAAAGACAATTTTGTGGCTAGCCTAAAATAAGCAGGTTTTAAACCTTAGCCTGTTAGCCATGTTACCTTTGCAGCGGTGACCTTCTAAATATTCCACTGATGTTAGACATTGCCTCCAAGTAGAAAAGAATGTACGATCTGCATTGAGGCCTGTACTGCAGAGATGTCTGGCACTAATAGAGACACCTTAACTTCGTCGCCGCTATATTTACTACAAAACGGATAGTTAAAAAGAACGGTTAAGAGTTTTATACTGAATTGGCCCCAGCAAGATATAACTAAAAAATATCAAACGCGTTACCTGTAATTCGAAAATATCTGAAGTATTAAATGGAAATTGCCAAGCTAGCTAAGGAACAAACTGATTAAATTTTGGCTAAACTTGGATGAAAATTGAATGCGAAATTAGTAAAAGCCGTTTGTTTTGCATTGCCCGGCAAAGTAAACAGAATGCGTGATTAGCCTCGCCATTGTACTAAATTGATGCCTCGTACACATTTTAATTCCCTGGGCCTGGGGACCTCCCCAGGACATGCAGTCTACGAGTGACCTCTATGGTTGCAAATGTTTTTGTGCGCAAATATTAAATAATAAATAAATAAATCGCAATCGATTTGCATGACCAAAGGCTCTTCCTTCTTGACGTTTCTTGAAGGTAGAACATCGGAATGAATATAACTGGAATGCTGGCTTCAGATCAACTGCCTATCTTTTTCTGAAGCCAAATCAAGACATACGTATTCACATCATGATTGACTGATTGAGCGCTCTCCGCATGCGCGAAAAAACTGGGACTTGCTTTCAAGTTTGACTTCATCCTCGGTTCCAGGGCCTCACGGCTGACACTGCGTTGCCGTGTCAACCGTGAGGGCCTGGGACCGAGGATGGTTTGACTTCAAATTTCATGTTGGAGTTAGCGTTCCATTTATATTCATTGCAGTGGAATAGAAGGACACTACCAATGTTGTCAATGAAATTTTCACGTCCCAAAAAGGGAAATAACTTGAGAAAAATACAAGCAAACTATAAACAATTCATTTTCTCAATGCAATTTTAATTAAATATTGAATGAAATCGTTATTACACGGACAGTAATAAATCCACGAAATTTACAAAATCCTGCTTGGTGGTGGAATCTTTAATATCCAAAACAAAATATTCCTTTAGTCATGGACAGCCATTCTTTTGTAAAGCACACCATACCATATAATTCCAACCAACCACAAGATAATCAAGCCAAAACAGAAATATGTCAAACTTGTTTGAGTGAAGACAAAACTGACCACAACCCGACCTGTTATAAACGCGACGTGTAAAATTGCTAAGGATAAACCTTGAATAAATGTCGCAAACTGAGGGTCGGTGATCCGTGAAAGAATTGAATTTCCGAAAGGATAGGCAAAATATGGCATACCTAAACAAATGTATAAAAGTAAAATATAGTATTGTATGTCAGTTACTTGATTCCAGGAGAAAGCCAGATATGTAAGAAATGATATGGAAGAAAGTTGCATGAGCAAGACAGTTGCAAATAGTTTTCGTTCTTCAACATATCCTGAGGCGACATGAAAACAGGTGAAGACCAGCAGTGTAAATATGGTGCAGTTCAGGAATATCAACTTGGTGTGAATAAGTTGTAAGTGCAAATGATCCAACGCCAAAATAGGCGCATAAAATGTGGCCGTACTTGAAAATCCCATGTTGGTAAACATGAGGAAGAACAAACAAAAAATTCTTGAATCCCACATTATTCTAGGCTTCTTCTCTGAACTATGGTCTTCACTCAAACTTTGGTCGCCATCTTGTTTGTACTCACTCGATCTTTCTTCATCTTCGTAGGCACTAACGTCCAATTCCTCAATACGAGTACCTGTCTCCACCCACATAGTTCCAGGTAAGAACAATGAAAAAATAAGGAAAAGAAGCCATACTATTGCCAACACAATTCCAGGTGAATTGCCCTCATTTATATCCCAACCAAGTATATTGATGCGAAATGAGATAAAACTTCCAATTCCAGGACTAATTGCAGAACCAAGACAGTACACACCTTCAAAGAGTAGAAAGCTTTTCCCGCGACTTCCTTCGTCGATCTGTAATGCAATTTGTCCCAGGAGCATTGCCATACCCCCGTCTAATCCTGTTAGAAACCTTGCAAAAAGGGGGAAATATGCACTCAGATTAATACTGTACATCACACTATAGCGACGAACTTGAGTACATTAGAGCAAATAAACATTAATCTAGCATTTCCAAATCGATCGGTTAGGAATCCAAACAGAGGTCCAGCAATGATGCCGCCAATGTTGTACGAAATTAAGACTAAAGCCAAAAAAAACTTGCTTTGACCAAACGATCTGACGTAGTACCATGCTGTAGGTGCAATGATGTAATTTTCAATGCCGCCCAAGAAGAAACGTAGAGCAGTCAATTTCATAATCCATCCTTGTTTTGCCATTATTATTGAAGTCTCTACATCAGAAGATAGATTGGACTGATATATAAGAGTTTGTAAAGTAAGACAACATACCTATTCAAATTTGAAAAATCAGCCGTTAATGCTATATATCTATATCTTTATAAAAAAAATGAACAAAATCGCGTGTTCGTAATTGCGACAAATAAGATGAACAAACAAATGAGAAAACAAAGGATTAAATGCAAGTAATTATAGTTGTGAATAAAAATGGAAACTACAAGCTTGTTCTATGACATGAAGTGGTTTGTGTCTTTTCTTCCGTTCTATCAACACTCGTCAAGAAAAAATAATAAGGTACTAAAATCTTTTGATAAACGATGAAAATATTTCCAACATTTGAAGCGCGTGCGAACTTTAATTAAAGAAAGATTTCTGCTCAGTGAGTGAGATTGAGATTAATTTAAATACATCAAACTGTTGATATTTACAATAATAATAAATATATATGTTATTTACCGGCTAGGAGGTCCGTCCTGAAAAATATTTTCTCAAGGTCTCGGAAGTGCGCCGAGGCCGAAGGCCGCTTCTGAGGCCGATCGACGGAAAGTATTTTTTCTGTACGGACCGACCTAAACTGTAAATAACGTGTTTATTTTTTATTTGATGGTTCATGTCACAATGAAATTCAAATAAAATTTCATTTGCGAAGTACATTTGAGAACACCCTCGTGAAGTTGGCTGCCAATAGCGTAGTGCACCTATCAATATAAATCCGGGG